CGGGCCGCGGGGAGCGCCCTGGCTGCCGGTGCTGCTGTGCGCCGCCGCCGTCTTCCTGGGCGGCGAGGTGCTGCCCTACTCGGTCTGCTCGCGGCACGGGCTGGCCATCGCCTCCCGCACCCTGTGCCTCACCCGGCTGCTGATGCTGGCCGCCTTCCCCCTCTGCTACCCGCTCAGCCGGCTGCTGGACTGGGCGCTGCGGCAGGAGCTCAGCGTCTTCTCCACGCGGGAGCGGCTGCTGGAGACGCTGCGCGCCGCCGGCCCCCACGGCGACCTGGTGCGGGAGGAGTTGGCCATGGTGCAGGGCGCGCTGGAGCTGCGCACCAAGGTGGTGGAGGACGTGCTGACGCCGCTGGCCGACTGCTTCATGCTCCGCGCCGATGCCGTGCTGGACTTCGCCACCGTCTCCGAGATCCTCCGCTCCGGCTACACCCGCATCCCCGTCTACGAGGGCGACCGGCGCGACAACATCGTCGACCTGCTCTTCGTCAAGGACCTGGCCTTCGTCGACCCCGATGACTGCACCCCCCTGCAGACTGTCACCCGCTTCTACCGCCGCCCGCTCCACTGCGTCTTCAACGACACGCGCCTCGACACGCTGCTTGAGGAGTTCAAGAAGGGTGAGGCCGCCGGGCCGCCACCCCCCGGGCTCCCCCTGCGCCCCTCTGCACCCCCAATGAGTCCCAGGTCAGCAGCCCCCACGGCCCACCCCGCGTGGCCTCCTGGCAGGACCCAGCAGGTACCGGGGATGCTGGGGGGAGCTGGGCCCTGCATGTGCTGGTGTGGCGGTGACCCTGGCGTCACGTGCTGGAACAGCCCCCGGGTGGATCGAGGGCCTGCAATGCCGGTCGTGCCTGTGATGTTATGGAGACTGTAAGGGCCTTCAGCCTCAGAGGTTGCTGGCTCAGCGGGTGAGCCCGTCCCGCAGGGCCGGTGTCTCTGCGGGGGCCTGGCAGCGTGGGCACGGTGCCTGCCTCGCACCCCTGCCCAGGCAAGGCAGCATTCGCCGCTCTGTTCTGCGCGGAGGAGTTTATGGCAGGAGATCCCGTCTTGTTACTCGGCTTTTGTGTTTTCAGCTTAGTAGTGAGAAGCAGGTCTAGAAAGTGTTTCTGTGCAAGCGATTTAAAGGAAGAACAAAAGCCTAAACCCTTACAAAGAGCTGTACTTTTTCTGCAGCTGTGACAGTACTCATAATGCAGCAGCTGCCAGCAGCCCCAGAGATGCTGAGAGCTGTATTTCATTAACCATACCTCGAGAATACACACAGCATGTGGTTTTTTCTCCCCCTCGCTGGAAATTGTGTTTTGCTGCATGTTACTTGGTAGGTCGTACCGTGGTGAGTGAGTCTTTAAGAAATGGCTGCAGCGGTGACATCCTGCATTATGTAATGCGGGAGGACAGCACTCAGCTCCCCGGGCTGCCCGGCGCCGCTCTGCTGCAAGCAGAGCTGATCATGTGAGAGAGGCCAACCTGGTCCATCCCAGATACAGAGAAAGCCTCTCTGTGAGTCACCTCCGTGCTCGTTTTTAGAGTCGGGAGGAGGGGAGGGAGGACGTTTCTTGTGCGCCAGCACGGGGATCGTCAGATACATGCAGGTCAGCATCCTCTCTGGAGATGCACAACTGTGTCCCCACCACCTCCTGGGATCACAGGGAGCATTCTGTCTGACACACCACCAACCCTCTCTGCCCCTCAGGACAACTGGAGACTCAAAACGGTGCAAATCAGCCAATTCCTGGGTTTTATACCGAGACTGTTAGCAAAAGCATTAAGATTGCTCTCTGGGTTCAACCTTGATGAGCTGCAGTATTTCCCCCCAACCCCATGCCTCTTCTAACATAACCAGTTCCCTCTCCTCTTCCTAATTCCTTATGCGCTTCACAGTTCCTTCTTAACTCTGGCTTCCCGCATGATACTACATTACTGAAGGTTCACCCGAGGTCCCTGCTACCTCTTCCTTGTCTAGGGAGTTTGGTTTTACCGAAGATGTCAGATGACTTTGGCACAGTCCCCCTTGGTCAGCCTCCCCTGCCCTTTATCTGATTTACTTTGATGCATTCAACTACTTCCCCCTCCCAATTTGCTCTACAGCCTGGTACCCTATGGATCAATAAACCTATAGAAATGGACTTGTGGTTGCTTAGCTCACTGCCCTTTGCTGTCCTCTCTGCCCTGCTTAAACAGGGGTGTTTTGTGTGTGGTGTTCCCTGAGCTGACAGGTGCGTTAACAAGCTTTGCTACCTGCCCTACACTTTCACATGCTAGTCCTCATCTCACATGAAGATTATCCGTCCTTCTTCAGCTTTGCTCCATTAAACTCTTGGCCTTTCGCTTCAGGCTCTTCCTCCCTTACATCTGGTTGCCATCATGGCCTTCTGGGGCGTTTTGCTACAGCCCCTACATAGAGCTCTTCCTAAAACTTATTTCTGTTCCCATCTCATTTCTCCTTCTGTTTTCTCAATTATGTGGCTGAAAAGACTTGCTTTTGGTCTTAGTATCTAACTCAGCATGGTGTTTAGCAATTCCAGCTCTTCCCCCAAATGTTCTTCTCCTCAGGTGTTGCTGTTCTCTTCTAATTCATCTTTCCCCTATGTGTAGGCATTTGGTCACCCCCAGCATCCTGTGTCTGTAGATAGCCACCCCCCCAGCCAAGCCCTGAACCCCTCCTAAACTTTCTTTTCCTAGTTCTAAATACAGATTACCCTGCCAGCTCCCACACTGCGACAGACGTTCGCTCCCAGCTGCCTTCAGTCCCGTCCACTGCTGTTTCAGCCACGTTCACTTGACTATTTAATTTCTAAAATAAAGATTTCCCATTTGTAATTAAGAATCTTCATCACTGTCTCCTTTGCTGTGTCTGTTTGAATTATGGTGGAGTATCTTGTTTGATCCAATCAAGGTTGCTCTCCGTGGCCGGGTCTTCTGTGACACCTCTACTAATTAGAGAGTAGGCTGATTGCTTGTTGGCTCAGCGAGTGCTTAACGAAGGCATTCATCACTTTGCGCATCCAAAGTGCCTGCAGGACAGCAAATGCTCCCACTGATAAGGCCTGGTCTCTTTCTAGGAAGTTCAAGTCTCCGGTAAGGATGGGCATTGATAACCACCTCCAGGTCCTTAGGTCCCTGACAAACCTCTAGAGAAACCTTGCCAGCTTTCTTTTCCTTCTCCCGTGATTAACTCCAACAGTTTTTGTATCCTTTATTTATTTTTGTTATTATAGTGTTTATACAAAATACTCATTAAATTTTATATCTTTCTTTCCTGGATAGCAATGTATACTTCTGATCTGTTTCACTAATGATTAATGTTCTGTCACATTCATTATACCCATAATGTCATTTTTTTTGCATAATGTATAAGTAACACAATTTCACTGCCAGAGCTCCTTGCCACAGTACACAAACATTTGTTCCTTCTTACTGAAGATGTCAAGGAATGATTAAATACAGCACTTTGGGACTCTTGCTCACACCTCCGGCAGCACTTTCTCTTTTCTGTCTCTTCTCCTACTCACTGATACCACACTATTATCCTTGTTTATCTGATGCATTTCTTTTCTCTCATTGTACTATCCTAGATAGGAAGATGATCAGCTTTTTTCCTCTCTGATCTTTTATAGCAGGGTTTGAAGGGAAGTTTTCCTTCATTGGTTTCTAGGTACGCTCACGCCTATCCTTGTGTGAGCTCAGTTCCATTAAGGCCCATTGACATTTGCCTTGAGTTTAATGCATAGATGAGTTGCAAATCCCCTCTCCCCGAGCAGGACCCTGTGTAGGTGGGATTACCCTCCACAAACCTGGGAAAGGGCACTTCTGTAGCATCAGCTTGCCAAAACATTTAAATTATATGAAAATAGTAGCATGCACTTCAGTAGCACCTAGAGAACTAATGGCCTGGTGTGGTTACAGGGCCCAAGAGCAGCTGTGAGCTCGTGGTTGACAAAACCTGGCCCCTGTCCCATCACAGCAGAACTGGTCAAACCCTTCACATCTGCCCCTTCACAAGCCTACTGCTGCTGGCATTGTTTGATGTCTCTTTTGCCACTAATTCCTGGAGAAAGGTGGTTAAATTGGGGGCACTAATGGGAACCGGGGAAAACCCAAAGAAGGGGGAAAAAAGCGGCAGGGGGGGGGGGGGGGGGGGGGTAGCCTGCAATGGGATAGCTTGGACTTCAACCCACAGCCCGAAAGAGGAGGGCAGCTGCAAAAACTATTGAAAACCAACATTACAGCAGCATGAGACAGGTCCAGCTGAAAGAAGGAAATACTTGTGCTAGAAGATGGTTTTGACTTTATCTTCTCATCAAAACTCAGCAGAATGCACTATAGCGAGATCTGGACACCCAATTTGCCATCTTTTCAGGCAAGCTAGACGGGGTCATTATAGAAGGCATGCATAGTTGTGCAGCATCTACATAGAAGTGCTAAGTGGAAGACACTACAGAAAATGTGTCCCCTCTTCTCTAGAAATAAGAAAATACGTACCAGCACAGTAACTTTGCCACCTGCAGCCTGAAAGGAGCTGAAACTACTGGAGTGAAAAAATTTGGAGACAATTTCTTGGCAATTGGTACTGGTACATCTCAGACTACCCACCTTTATTCTAGGCTCCCAGGAGGAAATACCTAATACACCAGAGAAATAACTGCACCATATTTAGCAAGCTAAAGCAATGTAGAGGGGCAGATGAGGTCCCAGTAAGATAAACTTCACCTTGGGAACATGGAGCTAGGAGGAAAGGTTTATGCATTCATTCAGCGTGAAACGCTGTGGGTGATGCAGTCTGTTTCTCCTCCATCCCTACAAAATAACCGAAGCAATGCGTGTTGCGGCTCCAGTCCTGTGATCTAACTCCTCATGGGGAACTCTTCTGTGAGGTCCACCTCCTTCTTCTGTAGTGCCTTTGGAAAGTTGTAGTCTTATCCCATTCCTGAATTTATAGATTTTGTTGACTAATTTCCTGGGGGAGTCTATATATAGCAGTGGCACCTTTTAGCAAGTAATTTTCCTCTGTGAGAGGAACAGTAGAAATTTTCTCTTATGTTCATTTTCCTGCAGCAGGGCAGAGGCTGACGTGCAGCTCAAATTAGCCTTCTGTGGTTTGGCATCTTTTAGGAGTTACTAAAAGTAAATTCTCCAAAAACAAACTTCCTGGCTTAGCAGGGAAAACAGCCTGTCCTGCAGAGGACAGCTCTGCCCTAGGGTCTGTCTTTGCTTTTCAAAATACTCTATGGCCTCTATTAGACTTGTACAAATTGAATGTAGCTGGAGAAGGTGCTCACACTTGCCAGGAACTGGGGCCAGTACCATTTCAGCTGCTTTTCTTATGGTCCTTCTTCTGAGCCTGCAGTCATTGCAAGCACAAAAGCACGAAGCACAGCTTGAAATTTAAATCGGCCTTCAAGAGATTTGTGCAAGCGTGATAGCCGCTATCTTGGGCACTTGGTGGGCTGAAGGAATGACCTCCCTAGCCAGTTGTATGGGTTAAGGAGCTCGTTGTTATTCAGGAACTATCCCGTACACCTCCCCGATGGGCGATTGCCAGGCTGAGAGTGGGTGAGGTGCTGATACACCTCACAAAGATGGCTTCAGTGACTCGTGCTGCAACTCTGCCTGAAAC